AATAAATATTTTTGAATTCATGCATGTATAAGCTTGTATTATTTGATTGATATTCATTCTCGGAAACATAACTATTATTCAAAACAACATAAATGCTTCTTATTTTAGTTTTTGAGGATAGAAAATAATAATTTTAATATAAAATCTAAAATAATATGAACTAAAAAATTGTATTGAATGTAACCATCCTTGTCTATCGCACGGATTTCTATGACTTACTTTATCGCTCTCACGGAACGGCCGATCTACCATGGGGACTTTCCGAACCTATACATATATAATCAAATCTTTCTATGATACATATAAACCAACTTTTTTATTACAGAATATAAACAAAGTTATATACACCACTAAGTTATTATTTGTATTATATGTATAACTATTCCTTATGTGCTGTTGATCTGGTCTCTTCTTATAGTTTCTCATTTGCATGCCGTGGCAAGTTTTAATGCTCTCTCCATTATCTTTTTCTGGTCAATTTTTTGTGTAATGTCCTTATGAAATTCCAGCTGTAAAACGAGTGTAATGACTGCGATTACATAACAAAATACAGGGAAAATATCAAACATCACCATCTGACTCATAAAAATCCTTCAGGCATTCAAATGTACAGGTGTAAGAGCCCCCGCGCACTAGCGGCCAGGTCGCGGCGACCAGGTCGCCACCAAAACTTTATAAGCGGCCAATCGAGCGCGACCAACAACTATATCATATTACAAAACAGTCAGTCAATGCAGTTGTATTTCAAAATGAATGCCGAACAAACAAAAGTTTCTGCAGAACTACTGTACTGGTCGCTGTATAGTCGCGCGCTAGTGCGCGTGCATCCATTGACTGTAATGTAAATAGTTGGTCGCGCTGCTACTTGGGCCGCGTGTGCATCGCCATAGATTTCGATGGCCGTCGCGACTCTCTGGCCGTCGCTGCCATTGGCAGTTCAGTGCGCGGTGTACAATTAAAAACAATGTAATCATTTGGTCGCCGCGACCTGGCCGCACGACCCTGGCCGCTAGTGCGCGGGGGCTCTAAGGACTGCGATTATGAAGTCCTTGTGAAATTCCAGCTGTAAATTTGTAGAAAAAATATGTTAATAATACATTTACATTGTAGACATGTGAGAAAACAAAAATTTTCATTAAATACATTTAACAAGACTATTCTATAATTTCATGAACTATGCATTACAATTTGTTGATATCAAATTTAAGCTATTCTAATAGATAATACGTAATTCTGCCTACGATTTATANTAAAGTTGAGAGCATTATAAGAACAATATGGTAATAAAATTATTATGTTACTCAAACATTTCTGAAAATATACTGAAACGTAGAACAAAAATATCGAGGGCATAAATGGAACATAAAAAGAATGCTACTGAAACCAATTTTTTGAAACGTTTCATTGGAAACGTATTTTGGGGAGAACATCTTGATCTTCTAGAACGTTACCAGAACGTTCCCACACAGCACAGTGACATTCGTAGGATGTACTGAGGATAACTTTTCAGGATATATAGGATATCCTCGGATAGGTACACGATCACCTCAGGATGTACCAGGGACATTTTAACATTTTTCTGCAAGAAGTATTCCATCGTTGATACATGTATGTATTTTTTAAACATTTTACTCCCCCACTTACTAAAATCTGACGAGAAAATTCTGTAACATAGCCACTGGCAGATATTTTTCTGTTTAGGACTACATACAAATTTTCAGAAAGATCTCCAAATTATTTAGATATACACATCAATGGTTCATATTATTCATATAACTGGTTTGAGGCATTTTTTAAACTTGAACAAATAAGACCTAAAGTACTTCATGGGAATAAAATATAAACTTTAACAGCACTTATTTTTAAACTGAGTTTAAACGTTTCAAGAAAAATGGAAACGTTTCTGAAACATGTCAGAACTGAAAAATGTTTAGTGGGAACTGTATTAAAACCTGCCTAATATTCCCAATCAGCTGATTGGGCTAACCAACGAAACATCCCACACAGCACAACGACATTCGTAGGATGTACTGAGGATAACTTTTCAGGATGTATAGCATATCCTCAGATAGGTACACGATCACCTCAGGATGTACCAGGGATATCCAAATGGAACCGCCTGGGATTTGCTCTTGACGTCCTGAGGACATCCGCCTGGATTCGTCATAAATACGTGAAGGGTAGTTTTACAAATCTCTTTTCATGAGATTTAAAGACATTTTAACATTTTTCTGTAAGAAGTATTCCATCGTTGATACATGTATGTATTTAAACATTTTACTCACCCACTTACTAAAATCTGACGAAAAAATTCTGTAACATAGCCACCAGATATTTTTCTGTGTAAGATTACATACAAATTTTCAGAAACATCTCCAAATTATTTAGATATACACATCAATATTATTATTCATAAAACTGGTTTGAGGCATTTTTTTAAACTGGAACAAATAAGACCTAAAGTACTTCATGAGAATAAAATATAAACTTTAACAGCACTTATTTTTAAACTGAGTTCTTGAATAAAAAAATAAAATTGAACTGAATTTTTTTATTCATTGCACATTATAAATATAAACTTAAAAAGCAAATTTCACATGTACTTATATATATATATA